AGAGGGCAGGAGAAGGAAGGGGAGTGGAAAGATGGAGGCAGCCAAAGCTGAGGGGAGGAGGGACGGCCACCGGGAGCCTCCCCCTCACTGGCTCTTACACCAGGCGGCTGGTGGAGAGAGGGGCCCTGACACCTTCCCGGAGTCAGGCAGTTTCCCCTTTGCTGGACCTCAGGGAGGGGGGAGTTGGGGGGGACCAGACTTCTTCATTCTCTCACTCGCCCTCCTCCTGGGCCGAGGCACCCCCCCAGAATGCCCCCAGCCGGCCCCGGGGCCACACCCACCCCGCGGGGCTTCGGCTACAGATCAGGCACTCAGAGTGATTGCGGTACACCTGCCCGGGGACACGCCCTCTGCCCGCCTCCGCTGGTAATACCCACCCCCCACACACACAGCCCAAGGGGAAGCCAAGCACTTTCCTTGCCCCACGTCACTGTCCCCACCGTCTGTCTGTTGTCCCGCCCACTCCCACCTCCTGCAGAGCCTTCTCTTCTCCAACCCTCCAGGGCCCTGCAGGGGTTGAGGCTGGGGTCCAGAATCTTCCAGTGGTCTAGCAGCAGACGCCACTCACCCGCAACAGACGCCACTCACCCGCAACACCCTTCCCCCGGCCGGCCAAGGCCTCTACCGTGGGTGGGGCCTCTGAGTCCAGGGTCCCCATCTGGGGGGTACTCCGCCCTCCAGCATGCTGGGAAACTCACCTTTCTCCTGCTTCGGGGAGCTGCTGGTGGCTGTAAGAGAGGAGAGGGCAGTTAGGAGAGCCCAGGGTGGAGGGGAGGCCAGAGCCCGCTCAGAGAGCCTCATCCTGAGCCCAGAAGGAGGCCCAGGACTCCACAAGCACCTTCACTCACAGAAGCTGTTTGGAGCCCGGAGCATTTCATATCATCAGCCCGTTCTGTAGATGAGTAAAGAGTGGGCCCAGAACATGGTGAAGCAATAACTGGCTGGCCTGAGACTCAAGCCTAAACCCTCCCCTCTCTGTCCTGTGCTTCCAGAGGTGTCTGGGCCTTTGGGTCCCACCTCTCCGGTGCTTCCTAGACCCCTGGACCCTGAGTCTGCCACCTCAAGGCCCTGGCAGCGGTCCCCTCCCACCATGTCCCTGGGCAGCTCACCTAGCGCAGCCAAGCAGAGCAGCCGCAGGACTCTCATGCCTCTGCCGCGTGGGGCCCTCAGCCAGGAGAGGAAGAGCTTCCTTGAGCGAGGCCACCTCCACTCCAGAGCCTCTGGGCGCCCCCTGGGTGGGTGCGTGCCTGCAGCGGGGAGATAACCGGGATGCCACAGTGCCCCAGGGCTGGGCCCGGGACAGCGACTCTCCTCACACCCCCAGGGAGTTAGGAGGGGCCCCGAGCCAAACCAGGGCTCACAGTCGCCGCCACTGCCGAGCTGAGCTGTAGGACCCCAGGGTAGATGTCCGTGTCCTCACCCTGGAGTCCTCACCGGGACCGCGCCCCCACCCAAAGGTGGAGGCACTGGTAGCCAGCAAGGGGGAATTAAGCTTGCTACCCCCGCTGATTTTGAGATGAGAGGATTATCCCAGCTTATCGAGGTGGGCCTGATGTAATCATGAGGGTCCCTCTGAAGAACTGATGGGTTGGACCCCTCAGGGCTGTGGGCTCAGGGCAGAGAGAAGAGAGGGAGCAGGTAAGGTGGGACTAGGACCCATCCAATCCCACAGAGGATTTTTTTTTTTTAATGAATGAAGTGACTTTATTGAAACACTCCGTTTCTACACTGACACAGCTGCATGCGTTTTTCTCCTGCTATCACAGAACGTGGAGCTTTGATTTGTACACAGGTGCCTTCCTCAGGGAAGATGTCCTGCCCCCAGGGAACTATTTGCTTCCTGTGAGGGCTCTTCTCTCCTACAGAGCCTCACAGGTCAGTGGCGCTCACATCCTCAGCACAGCCCGGGAACCGGCACCTGACCCAAGGCAGGCCAGTTACAGCCCTGCCCTGGGGCCCCTAGGCCCGGCTCAGGGGCACCCATTGAGGCCTGGGAGTGTTGGGAAGTTGGTCTGGTGGGGTGACCCTGCCCAAGCCTGGGCACAGTGTCCTGGAGCTCCCGAGGACTAGCTTTGTCTGTCACCTCGGTGGTCCCTTCTCCTCAGTGGGCAAGAATCGGCATCTGTCCCTTGCCACCCAGAATCCTGACTCGTACCCCTGGGGATGTGCTCTGGGGACCCACCTACCTCTCTGCATTTGGGCAAAAGCTAATCTTCTCTTAGTTTTCCTAGCGAAATTCCCTTCCAGAAAGTCTGTTCTCACTCTGCCGGGAGGGGTGCGTGGAAGGAACCGACGACTGAAGGCAGTCAGACGGGTCCCCTCAGCTGCGGGCAATCTGTTGCCCGAAGTCCCAGAAGCTCGAGGTTTTTCCTCTACGTTGTGCTCAGGGCTTCTGATTCGAGCTGAGGCAGCTCATGAGAAGCCTCCCCCTTTTATTGGTGTGTCTGGGGAGCCAGAGTCAGAGCAGAGAACCGTGAGTGGACTCGAGGGACAATTCCCCCAGGCCTTGGTGGGACCGGGGGCATCTCTACCGCCTCACCCCGACTACCCCTCTCCAACCATCACCTGGGTGCCCCATCAAATGAGGGCTGTTTCTCTGAGCTGTCCTGCACCTCTTCTCCACAGGCTGCAGGTGTGACAGCACTGAGTAGGTTGCCCCAGGTGAGCCCAGGTCACCTAGATGGAGCGGAGTCAGGGTGTCCTCAAAGCTCTCCTGTCACCCACTAGACTGACATTTCGTGATTCCTGCCCACCGAGGGCCAGTCTCCTCTATGATAAATGGCCTTACCAGCACCTCCTTGCGTCACTTTCCTGGGAGGGTCCCCTGGGTGGGAATCTGTGCTGGGCTGCCTTGGCCAGAGTAGCTGGGAGTCCTCTCAGGGCTGGGTGGGGAGAGTCCGGGACCCCCCCCACCCCAAGGTGGAGGCACTGGGGCTCCTGCCCTCCTGCACCTGCACTGGGCTCTTGCACCTGGAGAGACCCTGGCTTCACTTACTGCAATAACCCCACGGGCCTCTCCCTGCCCACGTGTGTCTTCTTTGCTACTGGTAGAGGCTCAACGTTACCGGACCCCCGGGCTCTCCAAGCCCAGCCATAGGTGTGCTGGTTCCGCCTTCACTCTGGTTGTCCTCGTGGGCCCCAGAGCCCAGTCTAGAGGCCTCAGAGTCCCAGTTCCCACAGCTCAGGCCCGCCCAGCCCGTCTCTACAACGTGGCTCAGGCCGTTCCTCTGCCTTCACCTCCTGTCTGAGTCCTCCCTCCCCCAAGGCCCCGCTAGTGGAACACTCCACGAAACCCTCCTGCTGACTGTGACGGCTCCCCGCCGAACCCCAGCTTGCCTTGCTGGGCCAGCACAGCACGGTCACAGGGCCATCAGGACCCCTTCCCATCTCTCCCACTTTGCTCCTTTAGGCCAATGACCATGTTGTAATAGGGCCTCGACTGCTCTCCTAGGAAGGACACTATATAAGTGACTGCTCATTCAGTCCTCACAACCACGCAGAGGAGGGTGGTGTCATCCCCAGGCTTTGGTCAAGCAAACTGAGGCCCCGAGTTTGAGTTCCTCAAGGTCCCGAAGCTCGTCCCCCTCACATCCGGTGATGCACTTGGCGGGTTCTCTGAAGGCACGTGAAGGTGATGAGAAGGACCTGGATGCCTCAGTGCTGCAGGTTCTCCCGCTTCGCACCCAACAGCCTCACCCCCGGGGGCTCATTAAACCACATCGCTGGGCTCCAGCCTTAGAGGAGGTGCGGTGGGGCCTGAGAACTGGCTTTTCTAACAAGTTCCCAGGTGATATTGGTGCTGCTGGTCCGGGACCACACGTTGACCCTAAGCTGCTAATTAACAACGTGTGTCGCCTTCTTTGGGGCCAGACTTGTTGCCCTCCCCAAGCTGAGCATGTAGCTCCCCGTGTCTCCCGCAGTCTCATCACCAGCCCCAGAACAGGGCCCGGCACTTGTTGACAGGCGGATGGGTCATGTGATGCTGGGTGAGAGAGAGAGAGGGACAGCGACAGGAGGAGCTGAACCAGCCAAGACTGCAATGACCACGTGAAGCCCCTGGACTGAGGGCGCCGGGCCAGAGCCGCTCAGATGCCGTGTCCAGGCTGGGAATCCAGCCAGGCGCTAGCCTCCTGCTGCTGGAAGTAGAGCCTCGTCAAGCACGTCCTGGGGTTTCTCCTGACCTTCCCTCCTGACGGCTCTTTAGGCCAGCAATCCTCAACCCTGGCTGCCGGTGAGAGTCACCTGGGAGCTTTAGAAAGTCCAGATGCCTGGCTGCTGGCTGCACCTGGATCAATTGTGTCAGAATCGCTGGCACAGGGCCAGCATCTGACGGGGCTTCTCAGGAGTTCTCCGAGGCTGAGAACCACAGATTGAGAAGCTCTGCGGCCTCCGCACCGGAGGCTTGGGAATCTTGGGAATCTTGGACGCAGCCCTGCCTTCTTGGGCAGCGGGCTCCGCTACCTCCCGGGGCCCACACTCGGAGTGTCTCTTGATGCAGGTCAGATCTGAGCTCTGCCCCTTGCTGACTCATAACGTCTGTGGGTCTCAGTGGTCTCACACGTGAAGGAGGAGTTACAGGAAGTTGTGTAGGGTGCCTGCAGTCAGAGCACAGTAAGCCCCCACTGTTTGCTCTCACTGAGGCCAGGCCTTCCCCTTCCCGCAGGTGGAGGTCTCTGAACTTTTATAATGGTACTGCCCAGGGTAAACAATTCCTGAGCACTGCATTCATGGGTTACTATACTAACATATTATGCATATTATATAAAACATTCAACAAAAATAGAAACTTTTAAGGATTGAGATAAAAATATAAATACAAGTTCCCATATTTTCTTCTTGATGCCCCTAGGTGTATGCACCCCACCTTGGGGCACCCTGCTGGAGGGCCCACTGAGAGAGGCGGTGGTCACCTGGGGTCACGAGCCTGGGGCGAGGTGGCAGGAAGTGGGGAGCTGCACACGGGGCCCTGGGGAAGCTCCGGGCGGTGGTGGGGGTCGGTGCTACAGCTCCGAACCGCTGGGGAAGCGGCAGCTACGGGCGGGAAACCGGACACCGCGCAACCCGGCAGGATCCTCAAGGGAGGGTTCCGGCCTGGGGGCCCTGGGTCCCGGGGAGCCCGGGCACGGGAATCCGGGGCAGAAGGATCTCGGGCGCGAACCTCGGGAGTGAGGGGACTCAGGCCCCAGAGAGTCGCCGGAGCCCGGCTCCGGCAGCAGCCGCGACAGGTCATCCACCAGGTGCCACTTCTCCTGCACTTGCTGGGGCGGAAGAGGGGAGCGAGCGGCCGGTTTACGAGCGGCGCCTCCTCTCACCAGCTGCCGCGGGAGAAGCGGCCACCTCGCAGTAGCAGCCCCGAGGCCCCGCCCCACCAGAGTCTTCCCCCTCCCCGCCCCCGCTACGGCCCCGCCCCACCAATCTCCCGCCCTATCCCTAGACCC